CCGAGCCTCCCATGTAGAATGTCTCTGGCTTATAGTTGCTGGTTGATGTTCTTTTCTACTTTATTACACTAGGGAAGACATGGAATCAACCCAAATGCCCCAAAATAAATGACTGATCAAGAAGATGTGGTTCATACATACAGTGGAATATGTGTTAGCTAGTGTTAGCTGTAGCATTTGTATTGCACTTTACATCCCTAGTTCTCATTTATTGTGTAACTCAAAGTGGGTGCTATTTCACCTCCTTCATCCAATTCCACCCTTGGGATTACTTTTATTTTCCCCAGTTTTCAAAGAGGAAGCGGGAACCTGGAGAGACTGGAGGACTCTATCAAATATAGTTACCATCAGATAGCAGGTGTGAGGTTCAAGTCAAGAGCACTTAACTCCATGGCCTGTTGACTTCGTGAGGCTATTGACTTTGCATATAGTAAAAATTCGATAAATACTTGGAAAAAGAAAAGATTCTTCATTGTTTATATATTTATATGTAAATATATAAACATATTAAATTTATATATATCAAAAACACCAATACTCACTAGAAAACTTGTTGCATTTTAAGGGCCTGATTTACTGGGTTTCACTAGGTAACAACAGAGGAAGGGAGTCATGGGGCTCCATAGCAAGTGCAGTTCTCAGGAAATTCAGGGCAGAAGGAGCTTCTGTCCAGGACAGTGGTGTAAAAGAGGCCCAAGTCAGTGGCAGTGCCTGGGGTGCTGGAGGTGACACAGGAAACTAAACCACACTGAATACTGTCTATGCATTGCTCAGAAGGCTGCTTCCCTGGACACTCCTGTGAGACGTTGGCCTATCACATGTGTGCCAGACAGGGGGATTTAGTGTATTCAGAGTTGTGCCACCATCTGCAGTCCAGCTGTAGAATGTTCCGTCACCCCACAAGGAACCTCAACCACTACCCTGCCCCCTGCCTCCTCCTGCAGCTCTGGATAACTGCCCTTCCTGTTGGGTTTGCTGTGTGCACACTTCCTGTGAATGGAACCCTACAAGGTATGGCCTTATGACCCACTGCTTTCAAATTTTTCCTTGCCTATGTTTGCAAGGGTCATGCCTGGTATAGCATGCATCGGTGCCGCCTTCCTCCCCGACCCCAGCACTTTATTGGGTTATAATGCACTTGAAAGAAAGGCACATATATTAGGTTACAGCTTCACACCTTCTCACTTTGCATATAAAAACTCTCCAAAATCAAAATACAGCACATTCACCACCCCCAGAGTTTCCTCACATACTAAAAAAAAAAAATCTAGAGGCCCTCCCTGTTGGTGCAGCTGGTTAAAGCACAGCACTGAGAATCTAAAGCCACTTCCGCATGAGTTCGATTCCCGCCTGCCCTGGAGGAGTCCACATGGCGAGGCAGACCTCTCCTGACCCGCCCGCTGCCCCCTCAGCAGTGTACTTCTATGATCTGCCTGTTCTGCTCCCTACTCCGTCTCTGGTGAATCCTCTCACCCTCCGCAACTCTGGCCTGTACCCCAGTTCTGTATGAATAAATAAATAAATCTTAAAAAAAAAAATCTAGAACTACACATATGATAAAACTTATCTTGGGGGCCTCCCTGGTGGCCTAGGGGTAAGTCTCAGCATTGTCACCTCTACAGCCTGAGTTCCATCCCCCACCAGGAAGGTGGCCCACATGGCACAGCACACCTCTCCAGTCTCCCCGCTGCTCCCCTCAGCAGTGTATTTCAGTCAATCTATTCTGTTCTCCGCTCTGTCTCTGATGAGCCCTCTTGCCTTCCACCTCTGGCCTGCACCCCAGTTCTTCAATGCATAAATAAATAAAAATCTTAAAAGAAAAAAAGATAAAACTTCCTACCTAACTGTTCTCCAGTCCAGGGGTGTTGAGAACATTCACACAGTTGTGCAGCCAATCTTAGGGCTCTTTTCATCTTGCAGAACTAAAACTCCACACCCATTCAACAGCCAAGGGCAAGATTGAAGACAAGATTTTCAAACAATACCTTCTTCTTGGGCCTGCCCTGGAAACTTTTTTCTGTGGATTTTCACAGGGACTGTGCTGACTCTTTGACTTAATGTGGAGAGTATTCACCATCCCAGTAATATTCAATATTATAATCCAGGTGCTATCTTTCCACTTATTTAGATCTTTCCTTTCTCTCAATGACATATAATAATTTTCACTGTACAAGTCTGGTATTTCTTTGTTACATTTTTTTAAAAAGATTTATTTATTTATACCTACAGAACTGTGGTACAGGCCAGAGGTACAGGGACAAAGAGAGGATTCACCAGAGACAGACAGGGGAGCAGAACAGGCAGATTGCTGAGGGGAACAACGGGTAAGACAGAAGTCTGCTGAGCCATGTGGGCTACCTCCCTGGCTGGGGGTAGAAATCGTGGGGGATAGAACTCATGCTGAAGCAGCTGTAGCTAGCTTCCTAGTGCCCTGTTTAACCTGTTGTGCCACCAGGGAGGGCCCTCTTTGTTAAATTTATTTCACATGTATTTATTTATTTTGATAGTCCAGAGGCTTTTTTTTTTAATTTGTTTATGTATATAAGAACTGGGGTGTAGAACAGAGATGGGGAGGTTGGGAGGATTCACCAAAAACAGAGTGGGGAGCAAAATAGACAAACCGACAAATCCACTGCTGAGAGGAGCAAAGAGTGAGACAGGAGGGGTCTGCTGAGCCCATTGGGTCGCCTCCCTGTCCCGGGATCCAACTCCAGCTGCAGTAGCTGTGGATAGCTTCCTAGTGCTGTTTTTTAACCTATTGTGCCACCATGGAGAGCCCCTAATTGTGGTCTTTGATGCACAAGTTTTTTTGGTTTTTTTTTTTAAGATTTATTTATTTATTCATATAGAACTGAGGTACAGGTCAGAGATGCAGAGGGTGAAGGGATTCACCAGAGACAGAGAGGGGAGCAGAACAGGCAGATCGATGAAGTACACTGCTGAGGGGAGCAACGGGCGGGTCAGAAGAGGTCTGCCACACCATGTGGATCTCCTCGGGGCAGGCGGGGATCCAACTCATAGAGAAGTGGCTTAAGCTTCTTAGTGCAGTGCTTTAACCCGCTGCGCCAACAAGGAGGGCCCTGATGCACAAGTTTTTAATGCTAATATAGTTTGGTTTATCTGTTTCATCTTTGGTTACCTGTGCTTTTGACACCAGGTCCAAGAAACTCTAACCAAGTCCAGGGTCGTGAAAATTTCCCTCTGTTTTTTTCTTAAGAGTTTTATAGTTTCTGGCCCTCCATGGTGGCGCAGTGGGTTAAAGCGTAGCACTGAGAATATGAAGCCACTTCCGCATAAGTTCGATTCCCGCCTGCCGCCTGCCCCGGAGGAGACCACATGGCGAGCCAGACCTCTCCTGGCCTGCCCGCTGCTTCCCTCAGCAGTGTACTTCGTCAATCTGCCTGTTCTGCTCCCCACTCTGTCTCTGGTGAAGCCTCTCACCGCCCCTGAGCCTCTGGCCTGTACCCCAGTTCTGTATAAATAAATAAATAAATCTTTAAAAAAAAAAAAGAGTTTTATAGTTTTGGGTTTAGGTCTTTGACCCATTTATGACTTAATGTTTGTATGTGATGTAAAGTAACAGTGAAATTTCTTACTTTTGCATGTGAGTGTCCAGTTTTCCCTGACCCTTTCCCAGCTGAACAGTTTGGGCATGCTTTTTGAAAATCATTTGCTCCCCTATGCAAAGGACTATTATTTCTGGGCTCTCCTTTATTGCTCTTTATGTATAAGTAGCCATCATATGGATATACCACATTTTGTTGATTTTTCTTGGTACTTAACCTCTCTGTTGTGTCTGAGAGTTTTTGGAGTAGAATATCCCCACCCAGGGGCCTGGCTTTGAATTTTGGAACATTATGCCCTTTGAAAGTAATATGTGTTCTGTTTGTTTGTTTTGCCTTCGGTTTGTTTTATCATTGTCCGTTCTCCATAGTGATTCCAGAACCTCACTGTGGGTACATCTGCCACCAAGAAATTTGCTAAGATAATTGTTGCTAGGACAGACCAAGCTCCTCAACTATTTTCTCCAACTGATTATCACAAACCTCTAATCAAACTTAAAATAGTTCGCCTGGTGCAATAATCAGCACTACTGATATTCTCCTTAATATTGATTCTGTGTATCTGTAGACACACTGCTGATTTTCAAAGCAGTGGGTTTTGTCTTGCTTATTCCTCCTCCCTCCTACACTCAGCTAGGAAGAGCCTGGAAGGCACGTGTAGAGAGAATGAAGAATTAATACCAGCGTCGAGCTGAGAACTTCCTGAGTGCTTTTTGTCCCAGGCTTCATTTCCTGCTGTCATCTCCCGAAGAATCTTCCCCTGCAACCCTAAGGCCCCAAGCCCACCACTGCGGTTCAGTGGGGGAGCCCGTGGTCGGCGTTCTCCGCGTACCCCACCAGCAAAGCTCACTGGGAAGCCCGGGTTCCCCGACTCTGCTAGCGGCCTGACGTTTGTTTTCCGTCCTGCAGCAGACTTCGGAAAATACCCTCCACCAGACGCGGGACTTCCCCACGCACCATGCAAATCCTCCGGGTGAAAAGTCTGAGTGTGGAAAGGAACGCTGGGTGCCTTTCTGGCTTCCCAGCCGCCTGGTCTCCAGGGAAACGCGGCCGCCGAGGCGGCCGTCGCCAGGGGCGGGGCAAGGGCCTCACCCTCCCAGTTGACCGCAGTTCCCAGGCAGCGGGATCGCGGTCACCCCTTCACCTTCCGCTCTCCTTCTCGGCTACCCTCCCTCTCTGTAGTCCGTGCTCGCTCATACCCACCCTGGAGCCCGCTTTCCGGCTGGGGCCGCGGAAGGGAAAGCTCAACCCGCGTTCTGGTCTGAGAAACGCCTGGTGCTGTCTCCCCGCCCCCCAAACCCACATCCCGGCCCGCCCCACGGCCGCACTGGTTGGCTGCCCCTGGGCCAGCCCCCGCCGCGGGCAGGAGGGGTCCTCCTGCCAGCTGAAAGTTTTCCTCCCAGGGAGGAAGTTGCACTTTCGTAGGCTCAGAAAGCAGCTCCCTCGCGTTTTAGGGGTCTGGGCGGCTATGGAGGAGCCCCCTTTGCGAGGGGAGGAAGAGGAGGAGCAGGAGGAGGGCGGGGAGGAAGAAGGGGGCGAGCTTGGGCCAGAGGGAGCTCTGAGCAAGAGTCCATTCCAGCTGACTGCCGAGGACGTGTACGACATCTCCTATGTGATGGGCCGTGAGCTGATGGCCCTGGGCAGCGACCCCCGGGTGACACAGCTGCAGTTCAAAATCGTCCGTGTCCTGGAGATGCTGGAGACGCTTGTGAATGAGGGCAACCTGACGGCAGAGGAGCTGAGAATGGAACGGGACAACCTCAAGAAAGAGGTGGAACTGCTTCGTAGAGAGGGCTCAGCGACCAGCGGGATGGTGAGTTTGGGAGGGAGATCTAGCAACCCTGAAACTCCGGGTAGAGTGTCCACACGCAAGGAGGTCCCTGTCATCAACAGCAAGTTAGAAATACCCTGTCCGCAGACAAAAGCTTATGACAGTCTACATTTATTGAGCACATACTAGGTGCTGCTCCTGCGCTGAGTCTGTTCTGGTTCCAGCACTTTTAACCATCACCTAGAAAGTGGTATTCAGGCTTTAGCGTACAGCATAATCGCCTGGAATGTTTATTAAAACATAAAAATATTGCTGGGTCTGAGCCCCAGTTTCTAATTAAGTCTGGAGTGAGACCAGAGAATCTGCATTTCTAACAAGTTCCTAGGTGAGATTGATGCTGTGGACTAGGCATGACCTTTAAGGAATCTTTGACCTAGAATAGGAAATATCTTTTAAGTAAAGAAAAATGAGTGCTTATCGCCACACAAAAAGACCCTACAAGAATTTTATAACAACTTTATTCATAATTGTGCCAAACTGGAAACAACCCAAATACAACAGAGGAATGAATTTTTTTAATTGTGGTATAATCCATATACTGGAATACTACACACTAATGAAAAAGATGTATATAGCTGTGTGGATGAAACTCAAAGATGATTCATTCAGAGAAAGAAGCAGGTACTAGAGATAGCCTACTGTCTGCTTACATGAAATTCAAGAGCAAGCAATCTGCCTTATTATAGAAGGTAGATTGATGGTAACCCAGGAAGGGGAGAGGAAAATTTATATGGAGTTAAAAATGCTCCATTTGTTAACCTGAGTGTTTACAGATGTTAACAATCATCAAGTCATAACTTCAAGATGAGTGCATCTTACTACAATTATGTTATACATCCATTTTTACAAAATTACATTTTCCAAAATGAAGTATTGGTGAAACAAAAATTTGATGTAGCAGTTTGCTCTATCTCACACTTAGTAACATGATGCATAGCTGTCCTTTTCCTAATTTTTTTTGTATTTTTGTGAGCTTTTAAATTTTTGTTGCAGCTTCAAATGTGCAATTTAGCAGAACATCTCCAGGACAGTTAGAAAAAAGCTCTTCTATGTGGACTATCTCATCGAATACATTGTTAATATACCCATCTTACAGAAAGGTAGGCAAAGAACAACTAGGTAATTTGCCTGAGGACTTACAGCAAGTAAGAATTGGAGTCACATTTGAACCCAGAGCTGTCATATTAAAATGCAGCCATTTGAGCTGCTCTGCTGTACACAGTAATGAGAGCTGGCGTGATGGGAGCAAATTAGGAAAGAGCCCTTCATATCTAGTGGAAAGCACACATAGCCTCAGAACTAGAATATAAGGTCACAAAGGGAGCCAAGTGCCAGGAAAGCATAACACTAATGCAGTGGTGACATCCTTGGTGAGAAGTCCACAGCGCACACATTCACCGGTGGTTTCCAGTGACTTCCCGGCACACTGTTATTTCAGCCATTCAGTACCCACTGTGGCTGTCTGACTTGTAGATAGGGTTCTTTACTGCCCATTTTATGAGATGGCTGAGTATCACGAGGAGTAGCCTGGCTTTTGCAATTCAAGAGCTGTGAAGTAACTTACCCAATGGCTCCACCCACATCAGTGCCCTGTCCCTGGTGCCCCCCCCCCAACTCCAGGCTCCAAGGATATGGAGGAAGCCCCTCTACAATATGAACAGTGTGGTCTGTGCTAGGGCTTGTGACTTCCTGTGAGCCACAGTGGACAAGTTTCATCAGCCAAAGATGAGATCGCACATTTACTTCCCAAGCCACAGGCTTAAGAATGAGGGTGGGGAAAAGGGCAAAGAGAGAGATGAATGCCAGCCAGTGCCACTAGGTTTTTTGTTTGTTTGTTTGTTTTTGTTTTTGAGTGTGAGAAAGTATACATAAAATATATCACCTTAACCATGGAGAAAGGTACAATTGAGGGCATGAAGTACATTCACCCTTGAACAGCCAGCATCTCTGTCCTTTCCAGAACTCCTTCTGGCCTATACCCAGTTCTTGTATGCATAAATAAATAAATCTTTAAAATAAGTAAATAAAATGAACTATTAAAAAAAAACTGAAATTGTATGCACTGAACACCAGCTCTCTGTCTCCTCCTCCTCCATCCAGACTCTGGAACCTACTGCTCTACTTAATAGCTCTGTGAATTCACTTACTGTACATTCTTCATAAAAGTAGAATTGCATATTTTCCCTTTAGTCACTGACTTATTTTATTTAGCATGATGTACTCAAGATTATTCCCTGTCAAATCATGCACTGAATTTCCTTCCTTTTGAAGGCAGAATACTACTCCACCATGTGCATGGGCCACATCATCACTAACATTTGTTATTTTCTGTTTTGTTTATTTGTTTACTGTTGCTTAATGGATGTGGGATGGCTCTTTTTTTTAAAAAAAGATTTATTTATGCATACAAGAGCTAGGGTACAAGCCAGAAGTGCAGGGGGTGAGAGGGTTCACCAGAGACAGAGTGGGGAGCAGAACAGGTGGACCTACTGAAATACACTGCTGAGGGGAGCAGTGGGCAGAAGAGGTCTGCTGCACCACATGAGTCATTTCTATGCGGGGAATCGAACTCATGTTGCAGTGGTTGCAGACAGCTGGGCAGCTTCGAAGCACTTCACTTTAACCCCTTGCGCCACTAGGGAAGCCAGGAGATAGTTCCTTTCTATTTGAAAAGTTTAAGTTCAAAATTCAACAGGTATAAGTGTGCTTTGAAAGATTTCCTTCCCCATTTTGTTCTACCCAGTCACGCATTTTCCCTCCCTGGAAAAAATTTAAATGACCTGTTTCTTATAGATCCTTCTAAAGACACTTTATGCAAATACAAACCAACATAAATATATATTTCTAATTTTTATACCAATGGTATTCCTGCTTATCTGTTTTTCTTACTATATCATAAAAATTGTACTTAATCAGATTATAAAGAGCCTCTTCATCTTTTAATGCCTTATGAAAACTTGTACTGTACAATATTACCAATTGTCCAAGCTAAGAGTTTATTTTTTTATAGTAGTTTATTTTTACATCATTTTGTGCACTTTTCCATCCCAGTTGTAATCCCCTTGGATTTCCCATCCCCAAATCACCCATGTGCCATCACCATAGTCCAGTGTATTTCCCTCCCCCTACTGTTTTTGATCCCATTCCCCACTCCACCCCTATAAAATGTCTCTGGTATATAACTGTTCATTATCATTATTATTATTTTCTTGCCTGGTCCATTATACTCCTGCTATGAGTGAAACCATCCATTATTTTCCCTTTTCTTTCTGGCTTATTTCACTAAGCATGATCTTTTCCAGCCCCATCCATGTTGCTGCAAAAGGCATGTGTTTATTTATTTATTTATTGTTGATTTATTTATTGGTTGCTGAGTAATATTCCATTGTATATATGTACCACATCTTTTTAATCCAGTCATCCACTTTTGGGCATTTGAGCTGTTTCCATGACTTTCCAATTGTAAATAAAGCAGCAATAAACATGGGGGTGCAGGTATCTTTTTGAAGCAGTGTTTTTTTGTATTTTGGGTAGATTCCTAGGAGTGGGATTGCTGGGTCATATGGAAGCTCCATGTTTAGCAGTTGAGGAACCTCCAAACAAGCTAGGAGTTCTTAACTTGAAATTTATGAGGCCCTGGTACACACCCTCCCACGCCAAGAGGTCTATGAACCTGTATGGGAAAATTTATATTTTTATTTTCATCAACCTCCAAGTGAAATATAGTATAATCTTCTGCATTCATGAACATTGGCAACCAACTGCAGTGAAATGAGCTGTGCCTCGAGAGTCACCAGTGGAACCCACAGGTAGTGTGTAACTCATCATCATGCAGTACGCATCTCAAAAGTTTGCCTTTGTTTAGTATTTACTAAACTAGACCTGTGGCTAGATCATCTTATTTAATATAAGAAGCAGACATTTGGATGAGCCTGTGTCATCCTAGTTGGTTTCTTTGTAGTCCTCTTTATTTTTTTTTAAATATTTTATCTATTTATGCAAACAGAACTGGGGTGCAAGCCAGAGGTGCAGGGGCAGCAAGAAGATCCACCAGAGACAGAGTGGGGAGCAGAATAGGCAGATCAATGAAGTACAGTGCTCAGTGGGCAGGTCAGGAGAGGTCTGCCATAACTTGTGGATCACTTCTGGGGCTGGGGATCGAACTCACACTGAAGTGGCTGTGCTCATTTGCAGTGTTGTGCTTTATTGAACCCGTGCGCCACCAGGGAGGGCTTCTTTGTACTCCTCTGCCTTTTTTTTTTTTTAAGATTAATTTATTTATGCATACATGAGCTGGGGTGTAGGCCAAAGGTGTGTGGGGGCAGGATTCACCAGAGACAGAGTAGGGAGCAGAACAGGTAGATTGACTGAACTCCACTCCACTCCTCTCCTCCACTGAGAGGAGCAGCAGGAGACAGGAGGGGTCTGCTGAGCCTTGTGGGTCAGCTCCCTGTCTGAGACAGAACTTGTGCTGCAGTGGCTGTGGATAGCTTCATTGTACTGAGACTTAACCCCTGCACTACCAGGGAGGCCCTGCCTATTTTTTTTATTGAAAAGCATTGTTCTGAGCCCTCCCTGGTGGCACAACAGGTTAGGACACAGCACTGCAAGCTAGTCACAGCCGCTTGGGGTGAGTTCAATCCTGGACCCCAGACATAACCCACATGGCACGGCAGACCTCTCCTGACCCGCCCACTGTTCCCCTCAGCAGTGTACTTCGTCCTGTTCTGCTCCCCACTCTGTCTCTGGTGAATCCCCTTACCGCCCCTGCACCTCTGGACTGTACCCAGTTCTGTATGCATAAATGAATAAATCTTAAAAAAAAAAAAAAAGAAAAGAAAAGCATTGATCTGAGAAGGAACCCCTGTGGGCCTTACCAGGCTGCCAAGAAGCATGTATAGCCCCCAAAACAAAGAATCTCTGCTTAGCTAGACTCTTCTCAAGAGACATTTATTTACCAATCATTTTTTAGTTAAAAAAAGGTTATTTATTTATGCATACAGGACAGGGGTACAGTCCAGAGGTGCAGTGAGCGGATTCACCAGAGACAGAGTGGGGAGCAGAACAGGCAGATTGCAGTGCTGTGCTTTAACCTGTTGAGCCACCAGGGAGGGCCCCAATCTTTTGTTCTTAGCCAGTAGCAGTGAATAATCCTGACATTGGATTCCTGGCCCCAGGGAGAGTCTAGCTGAATGGATTCTGAGTGAAAGCAAAGGCACTTTGAAATGATGATAAGAATTGCCAAATTGCATTCCAGAGAGGTTAAGGCAGCACACCCTTCAGTGGTCAGTGAAAGTGCCCTTTTCCCCACAGCCCTCACCCTCAGGGTATCTGTGAATGCACTAAAATTTACCAATTGGAGAGAAGAAGACTGGTCACTATTACATTCTATCATCAGCCTTAGCCTTTTTATCACATGTAGAGTATTCCTGTTATAGGGCACCTCAATTCAGAGAGAGGCACCCCTGAAGCCCCAAAACCTGCCTGCTCTAAGTGGGTTCTGCCATCCGCCGCAACAAGACAAAACATATAAAGCTTTAATGAAAAGTGACTTTAATACAGTGAATATACAATATGAAACACAAAGAATATAACTTCTAAATCAAACACCTGAAGTTACCCATCCCCTCGTGGGCAAAAATCAACCCAAAAGGGATTGGCCCAAAGCAAGGCCTGAAAGCCTGCCACAAGACTAAAGCACCTTCTGGCCGGGACCCATGGAAAAGGGTCAGAAATGGCCAGACAAATGTAAGAGGAAAAGAGCAAAATCAAAATCAATATAAACACTGCCATGGTCACCTCCCTACAGGTATCTCACCCACATCTGCCTTAACCAGTCCAGGGTCAGGAAACAAGCCCAGTTTCTTCATCACATGTTTGCTGCTCCATGTGGCTTCCTTAGGTCTCCTTCTCCATCTGTCTTCCTTCTCTCTTCTTCTCTCTCCTTTTTCTCTGCTCAGTTCCACCCTCCTTCTGGGTGGGGCAGGGAACCTGGAACTTCCCTTCTCCTAGGGACCACCCAATTACATTCCTAAGAGGGGTTGTCTTTGCTTATTGAAGAAGACTTCTATTAATGGAATTTAGGCTATTTTCAAACATTTCCTTTATTTTAACTTTTTTAAAGATTTAGTTTTATTTATACATACAAGAACTGAGGCGTAGGCCAGAGGTGTGGGGGAAGAGAGTGAGAGGACTCACCAGAGACAGAATGGGAAGCACAATGGGCAGATCTACTGAAATCCACTGCTGAGAGGAGCAGCAGGAGACAGGAGAGGTCTGCTGTGCCCTGTGGGTTGCTCCCTGAGGGGGGATCTAATTCATGCTGCAGTAGTTGGTGGTAACTTGATAATGCTGAAACATTAACCCCTGTGCCACCAGGGAGGCCCTAGTTGTATAGATTCCCCTTCTTTTTTTTTTTAAGATTTATTTATGCGTACAAGAACTGGGGTACAGTCCAGAGGTGCCATGGTGGGGGGGGGGATTCACCAGAGACAGGGTGGGGAGCAGAACAGGCAGATCTACTAAAACATACTGTTGAGGGGAGCAGCGGGAGAGACATGAGAGGTCTGCTGTGCCATGTGTGTCACCTCCCTGGCAGGGGATCGAACTCATGCTACAGTGGCTGTGGATCGCTTCATAGTGCTGTGCTTTAACACTTTGTACCACCAGGGAAGGCCCAAATTCCCCTTCTTATCCCCTGAATCCACCAGAGTTCTTCAGAGAAACAGAACCAGTGGGAGATACAGATATAAGAGGATTTCTTTTCTAGCAGCTGGCTTATGTACTAATGGGGTTAAGAAGTCCCACAGTCTTCTGTCTGCAAGCTGGAGAGCCAGTGGTGTCACTTAGTGTGAGTGAGAAGGCCTGAGACTCAGGGCTGTAAGTCCTGGTCAGATCTGGGAGTCAGAAAACCAGGACTGTTGATGCCCAAGTAGAAGAGCAGAACAGAGACTCCCCCTTCTGCTGCCTTGTTGTTCTACTTTTGGTTCAGTGGATTGGATGAAACCCACCCACGTTAAGTTTTTTCCTCAGTTCACCAATTTAAACCACTGATCTTGTTCAGAAATACCTTTACAGACTCACCCCCAAGCAATATTTAACCAGAAATTTGGACATCCTTAGCCCACTGGCCACATACAATTTACCACTGTATTTCTGTAAAGTTATTATTTTAGTGTTCAACATTTAGGTATGAGGACCCTCCCTGGTGGCTCAGGGGGTTAAAGCTCAGCACCACTAAGCTGTCCACAACCATCGCAGCATGGTTCCCGTCCCTGGCCAGGGAGCTGACCAGCATGGCACAACAGACCTCTCCTGACCTGCCCACTGCGCCCCTCAGAAGTGTATTTCAGTGTATCTGCCTGTTCTGCTCCCCACTCTGTCTCTGATGGATCCTCTTACCCCGGTATGTCTAATCTGTACCCCGTTCTTGTATTCATACATAAACAAATCTTTAAAAATAAACTTTAGGGGGCACAAAAATAAACTGCATGGTGGCACAATAGTTTATGACGCAGCACTGCAAGCTAGACACAACCTTTTCAGTGCGAGTTCAACCCCCTGCCTCGGAGGTGACCCACATGGCACAGCAGACCTCTGCTGTCCCATCTGCTTCTCCCCTCAGCAGTGTACTTCATCAATCTGCCTGTTCTGCTCCCCACTCTGTCTCTGGTGAATCCTCTCACTGTCCCTCCACCTCTGGCTTGCACCCCAGTACTGTATGCACAAATAAATAAATCTTAAAAAAATAAATTTTGGGTTTGGGTTCCTGTTACTCATTTTGATACTCAAATAATTCTTGGCTGAGCAGGAGGCATTCCTTTATACTGTGTGTTTGATGTGTTTCCACCCCTTATAGAAAAAGATGTTTAAAAGTTCCAGGCCCACCTTGTACTTACCCTGTCCCAGCTCTGGAGTCACCCATTTCCCAAGGAGCCCTGGCTCTTGTTGAGGAGAGAGGTGCTCAGAAACGTTGCTTCTCTACTATCAAAAACTTCCAAAAGCATTGCGTCATAGGGACCATCCCTGGGTGTGGCAAATCAGAGCTTTCCTTTCTTGGGTGGACAGTCCTTCCTCTTGAGGAAGGACTGATATGTGGGACATCATTTCTTCCAGGTGAGCTTGGGACCAGACAAAATGGTGGTTGACCTGACTGACCCCAACCGGCCACGCTTCACTCTGCAGGAGCTGAGGGACGTGCTACAGGAGCGCAACAAACTTAAGTCCCAGTTGCTGGTGGTGCAGGAAGAGCTTCAGTGCTACAAGAGGTGGGGCTCAGCTGCTTTAGGGGAGTGGGGCCTCCTGCAAAGTAGAGCAGGACCTTGCTGGGCTGAGACCTCTTTTTTTTAAGGTTTATTTATTTATGCATATAAGAACTGGGGTACAGGGCAGAGGCGCAGGGAGTGAGAGGATTCAACAGAGACAGAGTGGGGAGCAGAACAGGCAGATTGACCAAAATACACTGCTGAGGGCGCAGCAGATGGGGCAGGAGAGGTCTATTGCAGCATGTGGGTCACCTCCCTACGGAGATCGAATTCATGCTATAGTGGCTGTGGATATTTCATAGAGTTGTGCTTTAACCCCTTATACCACTTGCGAGGCCCTGAGATTGATTTATTTATGCATACAAGATCTGGGGTAATGGCCAATGGAATGGGGGTAAGAGGATTCACCAGAGACAGAGTGGGGAGCAGAACAGGCAGATACACTGAAATGCACTGCTGAGGGGAGCAGCGGGCACACAGTGACACAGCAGGGGAGCACAGGTTTACTGAATCATGTGGGTCAGCTCCCTGGCTGGGGATTGAATTCATGTTGCAATGGTCTGCGATAACTGGTAGCTGATAGCTTGACAGCTTTGACCCCTATACCACCAGGGGTGGCCCTGGGCTGAGACTCTTGATATGTTGCATATCAGTCCTTATGTTCATTCACCTAGTTTACTGAAGACCTGCTGCATGCCAGACACTGTTCTTGGCATGAGGGTACAGCAGAGGACAAAACAGAAGTCCATGCTAGGCAGTGGGGAAGACAGACCAGCATGGAAGCCAGAAGCTGACACACACAGTCCATTGAGGTGCTCCAGGGACCGATGGGGCAGGCAGAGATGTAGCTAAACAATCAGGAGAGCTGGATAAACGGAAGTCTTTGTATTTGCCTTTCAACTATTCTGCAAGTTTGAAATGCTGTAAAAGTTAAACACAGCGAATATGCACACGAAAGGGATTATGGGCCAAGCAAGAGAAGAAAAAATATGAATTTTGCTGAGTCCATCTGCACAACTTTTTCCCAAATCATTTCTTTCACATAAGTGTATCTAAAATAGAGGCTCTGCCATCAAATAATTTGGGCAATCCCTAGTTAAACAAATTAAGTTTCCTTAGAAGTGGGAGAAGGAACAAGAAAGAGTGAGAACATGAGGCTGCTAATTCTTATCCATACTTACCAGGGGCCAGGCTGTCTAACTGTATCCCAAAGTCATTGCAATTGGTACTCACAGCAAGCCCCTGAGTTAGGTAACACTTCCCCCTCAAGATGATCTAAAGCTCAGTGGGGTCAAGTAGCTTCCATGAAGCCCCCATGGGGAGGGTGTTAACTCAGACAGGGGGGCTCAAAGCCTTGCACTTTTGATATACCACATTTCACTGCTGAGAGTGTGGAAGTAAGGACAAGCCATCATAGCAAACAAAACCTAACAAAGCCTAAGGGATTATGTTCTTGAAATTCTTGCCTTGTAGCTCTGCGAAGGGAACAGCAGTAAAATCAAGCTATTCCAGGAAGCTAGACCTGAAAAAGGCTGAGTCCTGCCAGCCAGGACTTAACAGCCTTCCTTCAGCTGAGGTGGGGCCCATGTTCCTGGGAAGACCTGTGTCCCTGTAGCTGAATGAGCACTTTGACACAGGTAGTCAAGAAGAACTGCTGAGGCCATGAGCAGCTTGGCAGGGAATGAAACAACGCACTTATTTCCAGCTTTGAATTCCCCAAGAACACCAGATACGCACTTCTCATCTGGTACAGCAGAATTCTGTTTAGACTCTTGCTACATTCTGGAGAAACCAGCATGTCAGGCGACGCTCTATTAGCAGCTGTGCCCCTTTGGAGCTTGATTTAGCGTCAGTGTGGTAGGCTGTTCCAGAGGCAGCCTGACTGTCTCCCCTATTCTGCAAGTCTTTTGTAGTCAGCCTTTCCCACTCCTCTCTCCAAGAGGAGAGAGAGTGTGCCTGAGTCTGCGTCCCTCCCCTTGAGTCTGGGCTGGCCTATGACCTGCCTTGGCCAGTAGCATATGATGGAAGTGATGCTGTTTGGCTTCCTCAGTAAGAGAGTTAGGAGGCCTGGTAGCTTCCAATTTTTGTGCTCTTGAAAGGCTGCCTGAGACTGCCAGACTATGAGGAAGCTCAAGGTAGTCATGTGGAGAGCATACATGAAGGGGAATTTAGTCCCTGAGATGCAGCCACATAAGAACCCAGAATAGGTCAGCAGGAGAACCCCCAAGCCAACTGTAAGAAATTGAAAAATCATAAATCATTATTTTTAAACCACTTTTTTGGAGTGTTGAAACAATAGATAGGAGGACAACTAATTTTTAGATGATCCCTCTTATTGAACATTATTATTATTTTACTTTTTTGCTGTAGAAGAACTGGGATATAGGCCAGAGGTGGGGGTGGTGGTGGTGAGAGGATTCACCAGAGACAGAGTGGGGAGCAGAACAGACAGATCCACTGAAGTCAACTGATGAGGGGAGTAGTAGGGAGACAGAAGAGGTCTGCTGCGCCATGTATATCAGCTCTCCAGCTGGGAATCAAACTCCGATCATAGAGGTGATAGCACTGAAACACCCTCTAGGTCACCAAGGAGCCCACTAACTTTTACTTATTTATTTATTGTTTCCTCCCCTACAGAAATAATTGTATATAAGAAGGTATTTTGCTTGTTTTGTTCACAGCTGCATCTGCCCTACCCTGACATGGCATAGGCTTAATGAATACTTGTGGAATGAATAAGTGGGTGAATGCCAGGTGTTGTGTATTATCTCAGCCCCTCAGTCCTCAGAAGGTAGTGCTCTTGTTATCCTCATTCTACTAACTAGGAAATCAAGACTTCAGTTAGAGAACTGACACATGGTCCTCCTCCTTAAAAGCAGCTTAAAGTGCTAGCCAGTGCCATTCAACAAGAGGAAAGAAAACAGATATGAACATGGAAGGAAGAGTCTCACCTGATCAGAATCTTGCTGAGCCTAGCACTTTCAGTGTTACTAGGAATATAAAAGCTATGGAAAAACTTTCACTTTCAGAGTTACTGGGTAAGAGGTATAACAATGAAACAACCTACTATTTTTTTTTAAAGATTTGTTTATTTATACATGCAGAAGTGGGGTACAGGCCAGAGGTGCCAGGAGGTGAGAGGATTATCCAGAGACAGAGTGGGAAACAGAACAGGCAGATGTACTGAAGTACACTGCTGAGGGGAGCAGTGGGCAGGTCAGGAGAGGTCTGCCATGCATGTGGGTCACCCCCCGGCTGGGGATCGAACTTGTATTACAGTAGCTTCGATAGCTTCCTAGTGCTGTGCTTTAACCCATTGTGCCATCAGGGAGGGCCCTGAAACAACCTACTTTTTACCCCCATTTTTCCAGTGGTCTGATTCCACCAAGTGAAGGCTCAGGAGGAAGAAGAGAAAAGGATCTGGTTGCCAGGGCCGGCAATGCCAGCAGCAACAAGGAGGAGAAAACCATCATACGGAAGCTGTAAGTCCCCTCGCTGCCCCATGGCTGCTAAGGAATTGCTAGAGAAAGAGTCAGGATGAAAGGAAACGAGCAAGATGGAGAGATCCTGTTCCTCCTGGAGCTGCTGCAAGGAAAAGTCAGTGTTAGTGGAACTAAATACCTGCCAGACCCCTGACACATTAATCCAGTGGCTCATCACAACATCTGGGAGGTGGGGATTTTCATTATCCCCATTTTATAGGTGAAGAAATCAGCACCAAGGGTCATTTGCCCAAGGTCTCACAATAGTAAACAGTGACTTGAGCCCAAGAAAGTCTAGATTCTACTCACCATGCTGCCCTGCGACATAATAACACTTGCTTCCCTGCATGTAGTCAATACTTGCTTCCCTGTGACACTACAGCCACAATAAGAGCAGGAGTCATAACTTTCAGAGCTGAAGTGGGTTGATTCATCACCTCACTTCCCTGCCATGTTGGGGGGACTCTGTTTCTCCCCTCACTGGGGAGACATAATGTAGTTCCCCTTGACGTCTGCCCAACTTTCGCACCATTGTTAATATTTTGTTTCTGTGTATCCTGAGCCTCAAATCATAGCTTTTGGGGTGCGCATTAAAAAATTGAGATTCTCAGAAATCAGACTGGTACAGGGGCAGTGAGAGGATTCACCAGGATTCACCAGAGATAGTGGGGAGCCAAACAGGCAGACTGGTAAAGTACACGGCTGAGGGGAGCAGTGGGCAAGACAGGGGAGGTCTGCTGTACCATGTGGGTCAGCTCCCTGGTCAGGCATCGGACTTGTGCTGGATTGCTTTTTTTTTTTAAAGATTTATTTATTTATGCATACAGAGCTGGGGTATAAGCCAGAAGTGCCGGGGGCGGTGAGAGGCTTCACCAGAGACAGAGTGGGGAGCAGAACAGGCAGATCGAGGAAGCACACTGCTGAGGGGAGCAGCAGGCGGGTCAGGAGAGGTCTGCCACGCCATGTGGTCACCTCCGGGGCAGGGGATTGAACTCATGCAGAAGTGGCTTTAGCTTCTTAGTGCTGCGCTTTAACCTGCACCACGAGGGAGGGCCTGGATTGCTTTTTAAAAAATATTTTATTTATTTTTACAAAGATGAACTTGGATATAGGTCAGAAGTGCTGGTGGGGGTGGGGTGTGTGTGAGAGGATTCCCCAGAGACAGAGAGGGGAGCAGAAGAGATGGATCTACTGAAATACACTGCTGAGGGGAGTAGTGGAGAGGCAGTAGAGGTCTGCAGCACCCTGTGGGTCAGCTCCGTATCTGGGGATTGTGCCATGTGGGTCACTCCCTTGGCAAGGGATCAAACTCCTGCTGCAGTGGTTGCCAGTAGCTCTTAGTGCTGCGAATTAACTCCTGCGCAACCAGGGAGGCCCGACATCTGGATTTTTAAAAAGATTTATTTATTTATGCCTATAGACTGGATACAGACCAGAGGTGCAGGGGCAGTGAGAGGATTCACCAGAGACAGAGTGGGGAGCAGAACAGGCCGAATGACTAAATATACTGCTGAGGGGAGCAGCGAGCAGGTCAGGAGAGGTCTGCTGTGCCATGTGGGTCACCTCCAGAGTGGGGATTGAACTTGTGCTGAAGTGGCTTTAGCTTCACCAGGGAGAGCCTGGCATCTGGATTTTTTTTTTAATTTTTTAAAAAAGATTATTTATTTGTACATACAGAACTGGGGTACAGGCCAGAGGCTCAGGGGTGGTGAGAGGCTTCACCAGAGACAGAGTGGGGAGCAGAACAGGCAGGTCTACGAAGTACACTGCTGAGGGGAGCAGCGGGCGGGTCAGGAGAGGTCTGCTGTGCCATGTGGTCACCTCCGGGACAGGTGGGAATCGAACTCATTCGGAAGTGGCTTTAGCTTCTCAGTGCAGTGCTTTAACCCGCTGCGTCACCAGGGAGGGCCGGCATTTGGATTTTTTTTTTAAGATTTATTTATTTATTTGTTCATACAGAACTGGGGGACAGGCCAGAGGTCCAGGGGCAGTGAGAGGCTTCACCAGAGGGGGGCAGAACAGGCAGACTGACGAAGTACACTGCTGAGGGGAGCAGCGGGCGGATCAGGAGAGGTCTGCTGAGCCATATGGTTCACCTCTGGGGCGGGGATCGAACTCATGCTGAAGTGGCTTTAGCTCCTTAGTGCTGTGCTTTAACCCAATGCGCCACTAGGGAGGGCCCTGCATCTGGATTTTTAATGAGCTGTCCAGGCAGTTCTGATGGGAGAATGCCTGGAATGTACTTTGAGGGGTGCTTTCTCAGTATGGATGTCAGTCCTCAGGGCACACCTTTCCCCTGCGCTGGGGCAGTCTGCCAGTCTGCCAGTGGCTCTGAGAATGTCCTGTGACAATTTCCCAGCCCCAGGTCTCTGGATAGGAAGTGAGAAGCCCCCTCAGGCATTTGGAAGATCTGTGGGCACCAGTCACTTGATGTGCTTGAGTGATGTAGGGGCTGCGGGTGAGGGTCCCTCTGGCTAAGGGAGAACATGCTGCCAGAGCTAATTCTTGAGAAAATTCAAAAGGCCAGATTTGTTCATGGAATCAGATTTCCAAGTGCTGGCCAGTAATTTCAGTCAGAAAAATGTAGAGTATGTGGAAGAGTCTATGATATGAATGACCTCCCCCACTGCATCCTCGGCTACCAGCTGCCTTCTCTGTTCTAGTTCCATTAGTCCCAAGCTGATGGTGGCTCAAAGATGCTACTTAGTAGACTGCTGAGGTGCCCTTCATTTTCTCCCTTTCCTTAAGTCATTAGTCAGTCAACAAACGGACACTGAGTCTACACTGTGCCAGGCGTGTTGGGTGCTGAGGGCACAACAGTGACCTGTTACATGAGCCCCAAACTCTGTTGGCTCCCTTTGCACAGGGCACTCGTTTTCAGGGGTCTGAGATTCTGGGGCACCTTCCAGGGCAGGCTTAAGAGGGGAGAAAATATTTTCCTCTTACTTCTTTTTGAATGTCAGGAAAGGAAGTTTGAATTCATGATTCTCAGCTCATGGCACCCAGTCCTCCTTGTCCTTTCTGCTTGATGTTTGCTAATCCCTTTCTCTCCTCATCACTCATTTCCATCCTGTGCCTCCATCACCCTCCCTCTGTTCTAATATTTAATGAATCTCAAAGGTGTATATTGGCCCTCCTTAGTGGCCTTGGTGTTAAGTTTCAGCACTGTCACCCCTACAGCCTGAGTTATTGATCCCTGGCCAGAGAGCTGACCCACAGGGCACAGCAGACCTTTCCTGTCTCTCCCCAACCCCCCTCGGCAGTGTTTCAGTAGATCTGCCTGTTCTGCTCCCCACTCTGTCTGTCTCTGGTGAATCCTCTATCCCTTTTATCTCTAAAATAGAGAGGGAATCTATATTTTAACAGCCCAACATAACTTATCCAAAATGTTACATTATTGAGGTAATTTACCTCCTTTTTTTTTTCATAGCAAGCCCTGAAAACCAGCTTACAGTTTACACTTCCAGCACATTCCATTTAGGAATAGCCCTGCCTTAAGGGCTGGAAGCCACGCATAGCTCGCCCACAGCAAGCTGGGCTGCATAGCCTTAGCTGCGCCATGCTAACATTCTCTAGGTTTTGAGAACTAAACTCCACTGAATTTTTTTGTTTTAGTTAAAAAAAGAAAAAGAAAAAACCTCATGGTAACATACATAATATTAAAACACACCCTTTCAGCCGTAAGTATAAGCTCAGTGGCCTTCAGCACACTCACACTTGTGCAACCACTGTCCTCTCTGGGACTTTTTTGTTTTCCCATCACCCTCCCCTCCCCCGCCTCACCATCCCCCTGTCTCTGATTTAACCTCTCCAGGTGCCTGTTATCATTGCCTCCCACAGCGTTTTTTCTTTCTGTCCAGTCCATGCCGGTAGCATATGACAGGATTACCTTCACATTTTTTTTTTAAAGATATGTTTATTTATGCATATAGAACTGGGATATAAGCCAGAGGTGAGGGGCGGTGAAAGGATTCACCAGAGACAGAGTGGAGAGCAGAACAGGCCGACTGATGAAGTACACTGCTGAGGGGAGCAGTGGGCGGGTCAGGAGAGGTCTGCTGGGCCATGTGGATCTCCTCTGGGGCAGGCGGAGATCGAACTCATGTGGAAGTGGCTCTAGCTTCTCAGTGCTGTGTTTTAATGGGCTGTGCCACCAGGGAGGGCCTGCTTTTACTTTTAATGCTGATCAGCACCTGTCATGTAGATAGGCCACTTCCTGACCACTCAAGTACTGATGGACATGAATTGAAGGCTGTTCTCTGAATCTACCCATACTGCAGGGTGGATGCCCAGCTTGTTGCTTCAGGCCCCAGCAGAACCTTTCTTCTCCCAGTGACAGAGGCCCAGGCTGCCTTCACCAACCCCCACGCTGTAGATGCTGCTCTGAGGAATATCTTCCTGCTTTTTTCTGTCCCTTGTGGACCTCAGTGTAAATTTCCCAGGAGTGAAATTGTGTGGTCCAGGGTCTGTCCCCCAGGGTCCTATGGGAGCTGAGCCAGGGCAGCAGATGGCAGAGACTGAATAGACCTAAAGAATGGACATCTCACAGACACAAACAGGACTAAGAGATCCAGTTAGGGTTGGGAAGCACCTTGGGACTGGGTGCAGAGGGCAAAGCCAAGGAAGGGCATGTTGGGGAGGTGGTCAGAGAGGAGTGTGGTCTTTTGAAGAGAAAAGCAGCAACTGGTAAAACATGGCCTGGTAGGAACGGACCCCACTTCTTTATCTTCCCAGCTTCTGCTGGCCCCTTCTACTGGCTGTGCCCAGCCAGAGGCCAAGTGTGCCTGTGCTGCCAACCCCAGAGGCCAGCCTGTCCACCCCACACAGCAGGTGAGAGCAAGGAGGAGCTGGCTCTGTGGATGCAAACAGCTTTGGAACTGAGTCTGAAGTAGGGACTCGGAGCAGCTGCACAGAAACTCCTGGGTCAGACAAGACCACCAGGACCCAGACGTATTCATTCCCTCAAGATACTTACTGGGGGCCCGCCACGTGTGCCAGAGATGGTTCTAAGCACTGTGAACAAGCCAAGTGATGGGGCTTATATTCCAGTAGGGGCCGAATGAGCCAGTGAGGAATGCCATCTCAGGACAAGGTTACATGGCCATGACTGTCCATGCTGTGAAGAATACAAGCAGGGTGCTGAAAGGGAGGTCGGTTGGGTCTACTTTAGATTGGAGGATTTCTAAAGGCTCTGTGAGGAGGGGACCCTCAAATTGAGACCTGAAAGATGTTAAAGACCTGAAGGAAGAGCATTCCTGGCAGAGGGCACAGCTGGTGAAAAGACCTGAGGCGGAAAGCACTGGTAGAGCACAGATCATGTGGCTGGAGCAGCAAAGAGAATTAGGTAGGGGTGGGGGTGGGGAGAATGGATTCACCAGCTGCTGTGATGGTGTGAGACTGGAGTGACATGACCACGTTTATACACATAATGGCTGCATTGTGGAGGAAGGCGGAAAGGGTGGGGGAGTTTTAGGGGACAGCATGGAAGCAGGGGCCAATGGGAATGTTTCTTCCCAAGGTAAGAGGGTAAATGAAAGAGCATTGCCGCTCTCCACCAGGGCCTCCATTGGTTGAGTATTCCACTGTAAAGGAAACTTCCAGAAGGCATTCACTACTGGTTTCCTTCTGCCTCTTTTTGAGGGAGTTCTTTGGGTCACTACTTAGGCGTCTGATCCTGATAAAGCAGTCTGTGCACAGGTCGATCAAGCGTGGAACTACAGTCTTGTGGTCAGCCTGATGGAACAACAGCATTGAGTAAATAAATGCCTTTCCCAAGAGGTAGACGATTCTAGCAAGGATTCCATCTTTTTTTTTTTTAAGATTTATTTACTTACGCATACAAGGGCTGGAGTGTAGGACAGAGGTGTGGCAAGGGTAAGTGAACTCACCAGAAACAGAGTGAGGAGCAGAACAGGTGAATCTACTGAAACACTGCTGAGGGGAGCAGAGGGAAGCAGAAGTCTGCTGTGCCATGTGGGTCATTTCAGGTGGCAGTAGCTGGTGATAGGCTTGATAGCATTGAGACTTTAACCCGTGCACACTGGGGAGGTCCGAAGATTTCATCTTTATCCTGAGGACATGGGCAGCCCCAACAATGTATAAGCTGAGGAATTACTTGCTTGGCTCCACAGAGTGACATGGTCATTCTGACCTCTGTGTGAGTGAGTGACGAGCCCATCCTGGGATCTTGCACAGGATTGGTGGGGAGGGGTGGCCATGAGATGAGGTGTGACTAGGAACATGTTTGGGGCATGATGACTACAAGATAGCAGAGGATGTGGATGGGTGAGAGCCACTCCCAGGTCCCTGAATTGATGACTAGGTGGGAGGTAAGGGGGTGCACCCAGGTGCAGAGGAAGGATGGTTGAGTCATAATTTTTGTGTCCTGATGGTAGGTCTGCCCCAGTCAAGGGCTCTACCTTGACTGGGGCAGACACCAGCACTGTCCTGAGGTCTTTCGCAAGAGCCCAGTCCCAGCTCACTTCCGGCCTCCAGCATCTTTATCACAACTGGAAACAGCACTGAGGTTGTACTTGGTGACACACCCAGGACATCTTGCTTCCTTTTCAGAACTTTGCCTTTGAGTGAGAAGACATGGTAAACGTGGGTATTCCTATTTCAGGGCCTACATTAATCTTTACCCATTGCAGATGTCTGCTTTACTTATAGCAAAGACCTATTGGTAACAATGAGAAATCATTTCTTCCCCTACAATAAAACCTCCTAAAATTAAAAAAAAAAAAAAAAAAGCCACACTCCCTCTGTAGGTATAGCAAGGGGTTATAGAGGCTCTGGTCAGGGTCTGGTATGTGACCCTGGGCCCAACACTTAAGCTCACAAACTTGTTTGCTTGTCTATAAAACAGGGATATTGATCATTTACCACACTGGCCTCACAAGGGCAGGTGACTGAAGGCAGAAAGTCCCTAAAGGGTGCCGGTCCTGCAGGGAACCCTGGATGTATTCAGTGACCTGCAAGCACTGCTAAGTTTTGCCAGCGGGTTCTGCACCACTTGCTTCAGTTTGCTAAGCACTGTCTCTCTACTAGGTTCTCTTTCCGGTCAGGGAAGCAGACATAGGCGGCCATGACTGAGGTAGCTGCTCTCACCCGGACTGCCCCCCTCGACAGCCCCCAAGTCTCCCTTCAGAACACAAACACTGACTCATCTGTGCCCATCTGACTCCCTATGAACTGTGCAAAGCAGGAGGGCCTCTCGGAACTGCAGAACTGGACACCCCTGAAGGTTTGGGCAGGGTAAAGCAGCACCATGAAACCAAAGTGGACCAAAGTCCAGCAGGCCACTTCAGCCACCTGCTCCTCTGGCCAACTCCAGCCTCCTCCATGCAGCAACAGAATCCACCCGCCACAGCCAGGCCAGTGACACTGCTGATGTTGTAAATATTTCAATTTGTTGATGATTTTAAGCGATTTTGTATTAAATATCTTTTATACTTTCCATAACTGTTTTGATTGGTCTCTTTGGGACATACAGACATGCCCCGCCCCCACGTCTGTCTGAACACATGTATACACATAACTGGGCCTAAAGACAGAAAGCCCAACCCTGATTTCTTATCCCACCTTACAAAAAACAGACACACAGATAGCCTCGCCTGGCAATAAATATTTTAATTTTTCATTTTATGATGACAAATAGTTTTCAAGTTTATTTTTTTTCTCTTTTAAATACAAAGCTAAACCACAAACAGGTACAACCAAGATATCTTATCTCACATCTACACACTCCCGTCGGATCCTCCTCCAGTTGCTGACCACTGACCAGGCAAGTGTGGGTGGGGGAAGACTTTCTTAGGTAGCACCGTGGTGAGGCTGGGGTGGGAAGGCGGGGGCTGGGGACAAGGTTGAAGACAGGCCCTCATACCTGTTTCCATTCACATTTACCTGGGAGCAGGGGGCCAGGAGCCCCCAAGGCTGCAGGCTTAGTAGAGTGACCATTAGTCCCCCTTTGGGAAGGAGGAGGAAACCACCTCCTCCTGCCGGCACAGAGGTGAAGCTCTCGCCCTCAGCCATGACCCTGGGCCCATTCCCCTGTGCCCCCTGCACACCTGACTGCCCTTCTGAGGTGGGCGTGGTGGCTGGGGTGAGGGTCCTGCATCTCAGAGCCTGGAGTTCATGGCTGCATCTTTGTAGGACAAACACCAGGAGGTGGGACAAACAGCCTGGACAGGTCTGGAACCTTCAACCCAGCAGAACTGGGTGGGGGTGGAAGGGGAAGGGCTGGGTAAGTAATTTCTGGTCCCACTACAAAGCTTTATTTTTGATTAGAATAGAGTACCATCTCAAATCTCTTCTACAAAAACCAAAAGCCAAAAAAGAAAGAAAAAAAGGATTCAAAATAAAAAACGCAGCCACTTCACTCACTTCAAGTCCTATATACACGTAAGTTGTTTTCTGTGGTTTTTTTTCTTTTTTGATTTTTATTTTTCAAAATAAACTCAGTGTTCACATTTCTATAAAGAATGAACCCAGTTTGGGGAAGCCCGGCCCTGGCAGGAGCAGGTTGGCCACAATTTTCCCTGCCTGCGTCAACTCGGATGCTTCGAGAGGCTGGGGAAGAGTGTCAGCCCGTGGAAGAGTCCAGGCTCGGCCCGAGTTTCTGGCCACTGGGTCGGTTAAGCTTTCGAGAAAGCAGAGGGGAAGACTAACTTACGGCGAAACCTTTTTAAAAAATATTCATTCATACACTTCAATGTGTGCCTGTCGAGGCCTCAGGAAAACAAGAGCTTGGGAGCAGCCGGCCAGGCCGTTGCGAGGCTGCGGGGGACGGTCTGGCTCCCCGGCTGCAGGCAGGAGAATCGCCCCGCTTCCTAGTTCCTATTTGATTCTTTCCTCTAAAACCTGTGCTGAGTCTTTGACTGCATGCACGGGAAGCGCAAACGTTCAACTTGTATGCAAAAAAGGTACAAAAACAACTGGAATACAAAAGTTTTGGTAATATAAGGCCATCTGTTCAAGTCTACCTTGGAAACCTGTAACAGATATTTAAATACTACAGTGAAAAGGCATCTTAATATACTTTTTAAAAACATCTGAAGTAATTTGCTAAGATTAAGTGTGTGTAAAAAAAAATCTGTTTTTCTCGATTCCCTTTGAGGGCACTTTGTCCATTGGAGGGGGAGGGGTGGGGAGGGGGCGGCGGGTCAATGCTTCAGCCAGGGATAGGCCTCAATGGAAGCCCTGCTGCGGTCGCCGTAGTCGTACAGGAGCTCCTCGCCGGCCTCGATGTCGCGCGAGGCGATGAGGATGAGGTGAGGCACGCCATCGATGTCATGCAGCTTGGTCTGGCAGTTCCCACACTTGCTGTGGTTGATCAGCCTACCCAGGCGGTTGGTCTCTCTAGTGGCATCCACACTGGTGGGGAGAGGGTGACAGTGACCCAGTGGCTTTGAACCCAGATGAGGCCTTGCTGCTTCTTAACTCTGGTGGGTCATGATTTAGAGCCCCGTGGGTTCTGTTTTCTCTTGGGGGTGGGGGGACCTCAAAAAATGATCTTTGAGAGCCCAGAGGGTACTGGATGGGTATTCAAGACAGGGTTGGAAGCTCAGGAATGCAGATTCTTTGTGAAAGCCTGAGATACCTGTAGAGTTTTATGTCACAAGTGTGTAAAAAACAACTATGTTGACAGCAGGGGAAGTGCATGCGTTTGTGTGTCTGACATTGTGCGAGAAACTTAAAACAGCCTAATGGGAAAAAAGCAACTACACTGACCACAGAGAAAAAGGAGCGTGAGTTGCATGTCCTGGGAGGGAGGGGCCGGGGAGCCTCTGAGCAGCAACAGAGATCCTTCTCCTCGCCTGCCCACCGGGACACATCCGGGACCACTCCCACCCAGAAGATGAAGGACTGGAGGGGCAGGGCTGCCTCACAGCTCAGAAGAAAGACACAAGAATGAATTGAGGTGCAAGAGCAATGGCAAGAGCCAGGCTGCTCTCTGCACCTGAGGCCACACTGGCAGTGCCCACACCTGCTGCGACGGAGGAATGTCTCCTGCCCAGAGGGCAGACGTCACCAGGGCTCTGGGGGACTTACCAGTAGGTCTTGCTCAAGTACTGAAAATAGTACATGTAGCAGCCTGTAGAGGGGTCCTGTGCGTACAAAGCCTCCCGCTTCTTGGCGTCCGTGATCTCGATGAGGTCCCCGTGGTATTCCACCACGAACTCGCCCCGGGAGAACTGTTTGGTGGCAATCACGCCTCTGCCTTTGCCGTCGATGAGGTCAATCTGTTGGGAAGTGATGAACCGGAAGGTGGGTTCAGAGTAGCAGAGTTGCCACCCAGCAGGCCGGCTCCCTGGGGGCAATGGCAGGACACCAGGGTTCTGGGTCCTCCTTTTATATTCTGTACTATGTTTCTCTTTGTTCCACCTTTAGTGGGGTCAGGGTGGTTGTTGAGGGGCCCAGACCAAAGTTTAGCCCAGAGGGTGGGTTCTAACCCAGACCCACGTAGCCACCACCTGGATGGGTTTGAAATATACCGAGATAAAGGTCAACTTCTTGAGTGTTCCCTTACCAGTTCCTAGGAAACAGATGTTAGGAAAAATTTGTGAAAAGCTTCCCATGCACCATGCTAAGTGAGAGAAGCCAGATTCAACAGCTACTTTTTCTGATTTCATTTCCAGGAAAGGTCCGGAAAAGGGTCCATTTGGAGTCAGCAGCAGACTGGGGGCCGCCAGGGCTTGGTGGTGAGAGGGAAAGAGTGCTAGTGGATGTGCAGTTTCTCTTTAGGATGGAAAAAGTTCCAGAATGAGACAGGAATGATGGTTTACGCTACTGAGCTATATACTTGAAAATGGTAATAATGGTAAATTTTGTGTTTTATGTATTTTACCACAAATGAAACTTACGTTTCTTTGGGGTAACATGTCACCTACAAAGCTCATCATGTTCCCTTAACAGCTGTGCTGTAGGCCAGCAGTCTGGCTGGGCTTGGGGGCCACCAGAGGCTGAAGCAACCCGCACCACAGGAGCAGGGAAGGGCCCCTGCTGCCCCTTACCTTCATGCCTTCTTCCTTCCCACTTTCAATCAATTCGTCTATTCTTTTCCTTTCTTCAGACTGGGTAGAAGAGGGGACAGAAATGACAGGAAACACGTGAGCATTTTCTTCCTTGGGGTGGCCCTGTCTCCCTGCCCCACACCCCCAGGGCCCTGTTTCCAGGAAGCCCAAGTCTTGAAGTGTCTCCTCACCCCATCTGCTGTGGACAATTGGCCACCTGAGGTTCAACTGGACCAGGAAGGACCTGAGAGAAGTGGGCTGGGATGGTCTGCTGGGACCAGGTGGTTTGTGAACTATTATCATCATTCACATCTAAACATCAGCACTGCGCACACATGTAGCCAAGCTGGGCTGAACAAACTGTACGTCCCTCCCATCTGGGCCACTCAGGGCTCCACCCTGAGCCACAACTCCACAAAGTCCTGCTGACTCTACCCATGTCAACCCAGTCCTGAAGCTAGAGATGAGAGGACTCTGACCCTGCCACCTCTACCCTGGACCCTTGGCCCATGGCCGAGTTGGTACACAGGACATCAAGGAGCCTACATAGAACAAGGAGCGTGGGCTGCATGTCCTGGAAGGGAGGGGCCAGGGAGCTGTGTAGAGATGGACCAGCAGGGCTTACCAGCATGGATAGCGCATGTGAGAGCTGTGGGAACCGCAGCGCTCTTCATCTGCAGCGCAGTGCAGACCCCTCACACACAGCGGCCCAACACTGCACAGTACCAGCCTGCAGCCCTGTGGAACCTTTCTAATCACTGAGTCCACGGGGTCCAGGTCTCTGCAGCATTAGAAGAGGCTCACGGACTCTCCTCAGGCCAGCCCCCAATCCAGCCTACTCCTCGCACTCCTGCTGTGCCATCTAGCCCAGCAGGCCTGGGCTCTGAACCCAGTGCCTGGCTGGCCACCTGGCTTCTACTCTGACCATGTCCCAACCCACAGCAGTCAGAGGCCATTAAAATATAGCTGAGGGGTGGCAGGTGGAGTGAGCCAATACTCCAAATCATATACAATGCTGTAAGCCAACAGTAACCTCAATAAAAAAGAATACAACTTCACACCCTCCCTGGTGGCACAAAGGGTTAAAGCACATCTCTATGAAGCTATCGCAGCCACTGCAGCACAAATTCGACCCCTAGCCAGGGAGCTGACCCACATGGCATGGCAGACTTCTCCTGACCTGCCCACTGCTCTCCATAGCAGTGTATTTCACTCAATATGCCTGTTCTGCTTCCCACTCTGTCTCTGGTGAATCCTCTCAACCCCCGCACCTCTGGCCTGTACCCCAATTCTGCATGTATAAATAAATAAGTCTTTAAAAAAAACACAACTTAAAAAAAAATAAATTTTCAGAAGTGTAAACAAGAACATGCCACATCCCTGCTTCGAGTCTTCTGTGTCAATGCTCGTTCCTCAGCTGTGACAAGACCCAGAGCAACTTGAGATGCTTTAACCCGGGGAAACCCAGTAAACAAGGATCTACAGGAACACTCAGTACCTCTGTAAGTCTGAAAGGATCCCAAAGTAAAACATTTCAAGAAAAACAGGCTTTTGGGAGCACCCCCAGCCACGAGCATAAATCCACTTTTCTGAGGAATGACAGAGTCCAGCGGGACCCATGGCTACACCACCTCTGCATCCTCCCCTCTGTCTACATGCCAGTCACACTGGCTGGTTCTGGCAGAGCCAGGCTTGTTCCTGCCTCAGGGCCTTTGCACTTGCAGCTCCCTTGACTGGACTGCCCTCTCCTCTCCACCCACCTGCCTGGCTTCCCTCCCTTCCTTCTAGGCACTGCTTAAAAGGCATCTCCTCAAAGCAAGTCCCACAATAATGACCATTGCCGATGACCAAGGCTAAGGTAGCCTTTGCCCAGCTACACTACCAAACTGCTCTCTTATTGACAGGCTACTATCTGAAATTATCTTGCTTTTTTCCCCATTGTTTCATTCCCATGCTCCCATAGGAATACAGGCTCTAAGAATACAGGGGCCTGGTCTTGTTTATTGTGGAATCTCCTGGCTTAGGCTGACAGTTTCTAGCACACAGAAGGCTGGAAACAACAAACCCCCTCCCCCAACCAAACACGCAACCATCACAGCACTACCTTATTGAAAAACTAATTACAAGTGTGCAGAGACTAGTAAGGAACACAGCAGCTGTGAAAATGGGAGCAACTGCAGGAAACTGGGATAGGTGACCAGGGATTCTCCTGCCACAAGTGAACAGGGCTGGGACCCTGCTAGAGGCCCCAAGTGCTCACGCACAGAGCTCCTTCCAGGGGGTGAGGTTTGGAGCATGCGCTGGGCTTCCCAAAGAGACTCTGGGCAGGCAGCAAGCCCACCCAAAACAGGGGCGGGTGGGGGGCCAGTGTCTGGAGGCAAACAGAGCGGGAGGGAGGTAGGCAAGGTCTGAGTTAGGGCAGGGCCTGCCAACAGGAAGGACACACAGCAGACTGTTCCACACGTCAGGCCAGGGCTGGGCGGGGTGACTCCAGGGCAAGGCCACAGTCCTTGCCCAGTGCTGACTGTCACCCCACCCACAGCCAGGCCAGTGAGCTAAAAGGCTCCCACAGCAAGAAATGAGGGGCTTGGGGCATTGCTCCAAGGCCTAGTTTCCACCCTCTTGGCTCAGCCTTAGGCCCTGGCCCAGCCCAGCCTGCTCTCTTCAAGACTCAGTGAAGTCTCTGAGAGGCTTTTAATTTCAGCCTCACCTCTGACTCCCCACAACCTTCTTATTACCCCCACCCCCACCCGTGCCTTAACTAGTTCTACCTGAAGGGCAGTCGGATTAGGGTTGACCTCATCCCTTGGGCAAGGCCAACTGCCCCAGGTTTACCTGTGAGGCCAGTCCTGGCTCCACCACCCTAGCCAGGGGGCAGAGCCAACACCACAGAGGGGCACAGCAGGGCGCCCTGGCAGCTGGTCTGTGCCCAGAGCCAGTGCAGCTCTGCTGGGCTTACAGACCAGGCTCCAGGGGAAGCAGGGGTCTGCTCCCGCCTACTCGTCTGCTGCAAGGCCCAGGGGAACTGCATCATGTCCTGTGGCAGCCTTGCTCCTCCAAACAAAAGAGCCCTTGTGTTTTTATGTTTTTATAAAAAGGCAAACTCCCCACCCCTCCCCCATGCGTGCCTCTCCCCCCACCCCATGCTCCCAGCAGGAGAGGCATCCTGGGTTCTGGGGCTTGGCCCTTGGCAGCACTGCCTGGGACCCAGCATGGCCTTCCACTGCAGGCCAGCACATCACCACAGCTTGTTCCTGGCCCAGAGACACTGCCTTTCTCACGCAGTGACACCAAAGCTTCCTTAGGGTGGGGAGGTGGGAGGGGGGGTGGAAAAAGGGCCCCCTTTCTGATTCCTTTTTACTTTTGGAGCCAAAACTCAAAGCAGACCTTTTTGATTTCTTTTGACAAAGCCTCACCAATTCAAAGAAACAAAAGAGAGACTAAGAAAGAGTCTCTGTGTCCATAGACTCAATGTATAAGGCGTCTCCATGAGCTCCAAATGTGCTATAGGGCTACAGGCGCCCCACTTGTGGGTGGGGAGGCACTCTTGAACACTGCTCCCAGCTTGAGGCTGTTCTGCGGGGTACAAGAGCAGGGGGCTGCAGTGGAGCTCAGTGGGGGCCGGGGGCAGCCTGGGCTGCAGGGCCCGCTCAGCCTTGGCTTCCTTTACAGGAAGGCCCTGACCACACCTCAGCGCATGAACACCACAGCGCTGGCTGGTGCGGCACACAGCAGAGCCCACATGTCCTCATTCCCTGGCTTCGAGTCTGTTTTCACAGGTTCCAGGCACTGCAACTAGAGGTGGGGGGACAGAGTAGAGGCCTCCCAGGACTTAACAATTCCAGAAAACAGCAGTGACAACACTAAGAGTTAAATGGCACTGCTCCAGTCCAAGTGCCCCTGTGTTTTCACACAGAGGGCCCCTTTAGGGGCCCACTGAGGGCTGCCAGATCCTCCTCTGTTACAGAGAGGGTGGCCAAGGCACAGGGCAGCTAGGTAGCAGCCTGAGGTCCAGTCAGTCAGGGCTCCCTTGCCACAAATCTTTACCACCTGAAACACCCCATGGGGACTTCTGGCGAGCAGACAAGCCCTGAGAGGACCCACAGGTTTGCCCAGGTTCCAAGCTCCAATGGGCCAGCCAACAAGTCCTGGCAGAAGGTCCAAGGGAAATGCCTGTCATACTATGGTCACAGATGCACCCTAAGCAAGCCTTCCAGTGCCCCCAAGTGTTACGAAGGCCCCCACTAGATCAACACTGAAGCCCCAGAGGAAGAGACCTGCTGCAGAATGACAGAAAGCTGAGGTCGCACACTTGGTAGGGCCCTCATGGCTGCCCGCCCTGCCCCTCCAAGTGCCGCTGGTCATGCCTCAAGACTCTTACCTGCAGCTCCGCCTTGCTCTTCCTGGAGCTCCTTCGGACAGGGTAGAAATCCGTGAGCTTGCGGTTCTGCTGTGATTTTCCTTGAACTCTGGGGGTTGGGGGAGACACAGGACACATATTAGCACTAAAGCCACTCACACTCCAGAGGCATGTGACCCCTTGGGGACAATGTCACTTCAATACCTATAGCCCTGGCCCACAGGTCACAGATGTGCTTGACCTGGACCACAGAGGGGTATGAACCCTAGACCACTACCCAGACTGAGAGGTGACAATTAATGGTGCGACTGGTGGCAATTCTGTCTCTGAGCCTTGACCAGAGGCAGACAGCGAGCAAGGCTTGGCCTGCCACCCTGAGGCCTACTTGGCACTGCTGGTGCAGAGGCCTGGGCTGCCTGCTCTGTCAGGGAGCCTCCGGGGGTACTTACTTTTTCCGAGGGGCCTGTTTGCCCCTGACAGGCTTTTTCAGGGCAGACTTGGCAACAGCTGCATTAGGGGAGTCACAAGATGAGGTTGGGGTTTTTGGAGGTTCTGCTGCTTCAGGTTTTTGGTTTGGAAAAGGTGCCAGGGGGCCTCTCCTGGCATCTTTGAGCTTCTGCTCCTCGGACTTCACGGTGCTTCGGACTGCGTTTCCAGAGTTCCTTTTCTCTGTAGGCAGGACAGTCAGATTTACTCTGAGCTCTCTGGCGTCCCATTTCTAGACTGTCCACTGCATTATAAGATTGGTTCTAAGAAGACAGGCCTGTGGGTGTGCCAGGCAGCTGCACCTTCACCTCCTAGGCCTGTGCTCACTAAGGAGCCTTTGGGAGCAGCGTTCACCTTTAATTTTGGACCCAACACTGGGCTCTTGGTCTTGTGCATCCTGATGTGGAAGAGGTCTCTGAAGCAGAAGCACTACAGCTGGCAATACTGGCTGGAATACCTGACAATAGCTCTCAGAGACTGGGCCAAGGTTGGGGGCAGGAGGAAGGTCAGACAGCAAAAGGGCCTGGCATGCTGCGTCTCTGTTTCCTCAACCAGAAAAGTCCCCGCTTCTGACAGATGGAAGCCCACCATCCACAGTGGCTCTATCACAGTGCCCAGACACTGGTCAATGTTTTGAGGGTCGGTGAAAATGACTTGCTACTAAAAATAGTTCTGAAGTGCAAGTGGCTGGTGACCTTTGCATGCCTTGAAAAATGGTCTACTTTTCAAAACTAAACAAACCATGCAGGGCTGGTTGGAATATAAAATGGCCGAGTCAGCCTGAAAGAGTCTGGCAGTTCTTCAAAGAGTTAAATGTAGAATCACCATATGACCCTGCAACTCCACTCCTAGACGTCTATTAAGAGAATTAAAAACATATGTCTCCACAAAAACCTGCATATGAATGTCTGCAGAAGCTGACTCCTAACAGCCAAGAAGTGGAGACAAATTCAGTCTACACAGAGGAAAGGGCACGTAAGCTGCGGCCCATCCACGTGACAAAGATGATCCAGCTGTAGAGCAGTAAAGCACTGACCCTCCACAACATGGAGGAACTGGATGTCGTGAAGCTGAGTGAGAAGAGCCAGAAATGTGAGGCCATGTACTGTAGGACTCCATTTATAGGGAAAACTCAGAACAGGCAAAGCCAGAGACAAAAAGTAGATCAGTGGTTGCTGAGAGCTGGGAAAGGGAGGGCTGGGGAGTGACTACTAATGGGAACGGAATTCTTTTGACGGTGATGACAATGTTCTGGAATTAAGAGAGTGGTGATGATTGCGCATAACATTGAACACATGAAAAACCACTAAAATGTACACTTAAAAAGGGAAAGTTTTATGACATGAGTTTTACCTTGATAAATAAGAGGAAAGTTTAAAAATCCATCAAAACCCATCCAGACCATTCTCATTCCCTTACCCGCAACCATCTTGAGTGGAACCAGATGCTCAGGCCAGGACACCCAGCAAAACCCTAGAGGGGGCAAAGAGTCTAGGACTATCTGTCATGGACAAGTCTGGCTCTTAGGGGTCTCTTCCAAAATTTCAATCACTGCCATTTAGTAACACTAAGTTTTAAACACACTAGCTTGGGAACAGGTCACATTTGGGACAATTTCCATTCTTCCCATTCCAGATGGGATGTGGCACCAGGTGACAACCATTTAAGAGTCCCATGCCCAGTCCTCACATGGCAGGGGTTGTTCTCAGTGCCTCAGCCTTGGGGAGGAGTGGAGAAAGGGCCCATAGGGGGAGGGCTTTACAAAACTCTTCTTATGCAAACGGTCATAGACCTTCAAAATAGTCCTCAAGGCAGGACTCCCTCTGACACTACACAGATGAGAACTGAGCCCCAGAAAGGACTAGCAACCTGCTCAAGATGCTTCCCTTGAAAGTTGGAAAGCAGGCCCTCCCTGGTGGTACAACGGGTTAGGACACAGCACTGCAAGCCGGCAGTAGCTGTTGCAATATGAGTTCTATCCCTGGCCCCAGAGGTGACCCACATGGCACAACAGACCTCTCTTGTCTCGCCTGCTGCTCCCCTCAGTAGTGTACTTCGCTGATATGCCTGTTCTGTTCCCTGCTGTCACTCCCTCACTGTCCCCGCACTTCTGGCCTGTACCCCAGTTCTGTATGCATAAATAAAATTAAAGAAAAAAAAGTGGCAGAGCTAGGACTACTAGGGCTTGAGTCATCTGAACATCTGCTGAGAGGGTACCCCCTTGCACACCAGGGGAATCAAGCAGAGGGCTGGGTTCTGCCCTTGGCTCTGATATGGCTCCATAAGCTGGACTGAACCATCATTATGGCACTTTTTGCCTACTGGCACAAAGCTGATTTATACGGAGCCACTGGGGGATGGAGCTTGGCTTCTTAAAATCAAGTTTTAATTAAAAGGAGGCCTGGTGATTTGGGGGAGAGTTCTTGCTTTCCACTGCAGCTTTGAAAGGCAGCATTTGGATAAGAGCAAGATTTCTAAGAGGTTTCAGCTGGTTTTACAGAGGCAGACAGAGGTTTCTGGTAACTCTTCTTTTTTTTAAATCAGTATTTTTAAAAAAGATTTATTTATTTATGTTTACAGAACTGGAGTACAGGCCAGAGGTGTGGTGGGTGAAAGGATTCACCAGAGACAGAGTGGGGAGCAGAACAGGCAGACTGACAAAGTTCACTGCTGCGGGTAGCAGCAGGCGGGCCAGAAGAGGTCTGCCGCACCATGTGGATTAGCTCCCTAGCCAAGGATCGAATGCCTCATGCTGCAGTGGCTTCTGCAGTGGCTTTGGAGAGCTTCACAATGCAGTGCTTTAACCCCTTGCACCACCAGGGAGAGCCCCTTAATCAACATTTTAACTACCTAGCCTATGGCTGAGTATGAGCAACACTAATGCTTGAGTGGAAAGAAATTTTAGTATGAGGTCAAGGCCACCTCACAGAAGGGAAGTAAGCTCCCTGTGTTCATGCAATAGTCACGATGGCAGATATGGGGCTGTGCAAACTGGGCTCAGGTAAAAGAACTGGGCACAGTTAGCACCTAGGAGCCTCTCTCACTGCAGGTCAGGTGCATTATCTCTGCAACTTGGCAAGAATAGGACTTGAAGGACATGCTAACGCTTGTGAAAGCAGGGAGAACCTGTTAGACCACAGGGCGTGGTCTGGGACAGGCTACTTCCCCCTTGTGCAGGAGGAGGTAGCAGGGCCTAGGGAGGTCCAACATGGCTCGAATCTTCCATGGATTTGACAAAGCTGGAAGTAAATGTAGCATACAAGCGTCATCATGCAGGGCAGAGCCTTCTACAGCCCCCACAAGCTGGCATCTAAACAGGCTTGTTTCAGAGGCTCACCTTCTCGTTTCCGGTAGACGCCGGTTAATGGCTTCCCCTGGCATTTGACTTCGTGATGTGCAACTGAGTTCTCTTCCTGAAGGGGGGAACGCATTCCAGAGCATTTGTTCAGGCTCATATAGGAATAGATCTTTGATTGCCCGGCAAATACATTCTCCTAAAACGACAAATAGGTATTCTGAAAGAGGCTGCAAGAAAAAGAAGATCCCACAGCATTTTGCAGAGAAGGGGTAACCTGAATACAAAGGCAAAGCAGACAACATCCTCTGGCAAGAGCAGGGCTCTCTGGGGAGGCCAGCCCCAATAGGGCAGTGGGAGGGTAGTGCCTCCCAAGTCCCGGGGATGCTTCCTGAACACGTGTGGCGTGTGGCTTCGACTTCCAGTCACTAAAGGGACATCTGGCCAGCAGAACAACCTGTGCATAAAGGTCTATACACGCAGGGAGGTGACCTACCAGCAATAGGGAGGTTACAACGACTCAGGATCAACAAACCCAGAATTTGAGGGTCTGAGAAGGGGGTGCAGTAGGAGCTCACTTCACTCCCTAGCAGAAGCTGAAGCAATTCTATACAAAAAGAGGCATCCTTAACCACTCTGGGCCCTTAGGTTGGCTGGCAGGACCTGTCCTCACTGCCCAGCCTTGCCTGTGTACAGGCTCCATCATGGCCTGCTCAATTCCATGTAGCCCAGCACTCAGGCACTGTACTGAGGGTGGGGGAGGGGTAGGGTGGGGACTGAGCCCCAGGCCAGTGCACTTAGGGCAGTCCCTGTGCAAATGGCATATGCCCTTAGCAAGAGAGTGGGCGGTTCCGGTCACAGTCAGTGTTTCTGGGTGCCGGGCCCAGCCTGCACACAGAGGAGGGATTCCCAATAAAAACAGCTCGGGCCCTCCTGCCTGAAACACCAAGCTAACGAGATCCATGACCCAGCGGAGGGCCCCGGGCAGGCCCCACAAGCCCCTGGAATGCAGCCACCTCCGGGGTAGCTGGTCTGGGAAGTGGACGTGCCATAAAGACACAAACTTTTCTGAGGTCAAATATGGCCAGGGTCATGGCGGAGCGCGGGTGGACGCCACTCCCCGGCCGGCCTAGCGGCAGAAAAGGAAGCTGGC